AAAAAAAAAAAAAAAAAAACAAAAAAAAAAAACACCAGCAATTTTTTAAACCTGAGGGTTGAAGTCAGTGCAGTACAGTTAGTCACATTCCCTTGAGGTGTTAAGTAGACTGGCCTCCTGGTTACTTCAGTGCATAATAATAATAATAAATACCAGCAACTAATCATCAATACTCTCCTTCAGAAACGTGAGTCAGCATTTGCTTATCTTTAAACATGTTTATTTGCTTGATTTAGATTTAGATATGTTTAGTAATAGGCAGAAATGAATATGTTTTTCTGAATACAGTAATTTCCCCCTGTTGGTGCTTGTAGCTCCATGCCAAATACATTAATGATGAGACAAATCTTGTAACAATCCTCTCTCAAGACAGCACCAGATGGAAAGCTGGGTACCCTATCACGTCATTTCAAGATTTCCATATGGAAAACTGGGTAAACGTTGTCTCATTCTGTATTTTCAGGTCAACAAACATATAACAAATAGACAGGATTTTAAGACAAAATTATTTCTTATACAATAGTAGAGCATATAAATACTCTGATCAGTATTTCTTTATAAATAATTATTTAAAATACTTAAATATTAATAAATAAATGTATAAAAATTCAATAGAAAGTTTAAAATAAAAAAGTTGTGTCACAACAAGATTTATACAAAAGAACATAAGATGGCATTAGCATTTGCACTGCCTCTGAAACTGGCTTCTTTTTCTTTTGTAAGAACTTGGAGTATCTCCCAGTTTTTGTAAGACGCTGAACAGCTCATTCACAGCTTTACGTTGAATTTTCAAGTCATTCACCTGTTAAAAGTAAAAAACAAATGGAAGTTATGCCAAGAGCTATAATCATTTACTGATCACATCCCATAGGCTACCCTGCTACCAGAGTAAAACCGATGGACATCCGCAGTTTTCAATTACTCTTCTACCTAATTCCTACAGCAAAGAGCCACTTTGTCACAGATTTTTGTTTTTCACCTTCTGTGCTACTTCACAACATGCCACAGACCAGATATATATATATATACAGAGCTATTCTGTAGTTACAAGCAGCTAACTCCACTAGAGTATTGTCTGCAGAACTCTGCAGAGGTCAGTGGTTTGTGCCATCAGCACTCGCTCGATAAGCCAAGTGCTTCCAAAGCCATAGGGTACACCCTAGCTAGGCACAACTTTCCCACCCAGTTCCAAAACCACAAAGGCTCTGTCAGTGTCAGCTCTGGTATGCAGACTGAGTGGAGGTGGTGTCAGCACCTTTGTGCCAAACTCCAGCAAGACTCAGGAGTCTACCCCACACCGTAGACCTGCAGCAGCCCCTGCAGCTGGAAACATTAGGTTTTCCAGTGTGAAGTGAGCTAGACAAGGGTTACCATATGAGTTGCTGGAGCCCTATTGGCTTGAATCACACTCAAATCACAACTGGAAAATATAATGTGATGAACCTTGGAGGCAAAGGAAGAGCCTTACCTGAAGCTTTGTCAGGTCCTTGAGATATTCCATCTTCTTTGAGCCATCAGAAAGGCTTTCTTTCAGAGTGTAGAGCTCCTCAGTTATGTTCCTGACATGCGCCTTTGACTTGTCAGTATTTTCAAGGATTTTCAAGTACATGGAAACAATCTGACTCAGGATGATCCTTTTTTCATTTCTCTGTTGAAAAAGAAAGGTCTGTGAGTGCTCATCAGCAGGGAAATGAATGAAGATAAAACACAAATCACTGCCACTTAAAACAAGATGATAAAGAAGTTGCAAATCACCTCCTGGGCTTGTCTGTATCTGAGATCATTTCGTGGTGCAGTACAAAGCACCTTGACTCTTATGGGAAGCATTTTTATGGGGATTTTTTTCTCATTTCCAAGTTAACAAATAGAACTCTGCTCATGTTCATTCTACCCCAGCTAACAGTGGTTCTACGAGGTGCTTTGTACCAAAAGAACCCTGCGAAGTGCCTGAGATGCTTTTTCATATCTGTTTCTGACTCACCTCTGTCCAGTTTGACAATCTCCCCGTAAAGATTGGTCTGCCATCACCTACATCTGAATGACTTGAGTTCTGCAACAAAGAACAGACATATCTGTCATACAAACAATACTTATCAAGAGGCAAATTTGTGTTCTCTAATCAAATAAGCAGTAAAATCCAGATTTTTGTACCACTGGCCTATAGCTATCACAATGCTTTGACTTCTTTAAGCACCAAATCCCATTGCATGGCCGCCTACTATCAGAAATGGCATTAATCTGCTTTTCAATGCTTCTCCTGCTATATCTAAGCTGAGATGTTGAACACATCTGTTTTGCCAAATGTTTTTGCTATTGATAGATGAAAATAAAAGCTCATAAACACTGCAACTGACTAGAAAATCATTAGGTCTGAATTTGACATGTCTTCTGGTAAGTCAAAGTCCAGCAGTATGTAGTCATCTGTGGCCTTAAATTCATGCAGCCTTACTAAAATCTCATATGAAACAAGAACAAACTATAGAACTGGAGAACAGCCCAGTAGCCACAGTCAGGCATGAGCATATGCAAGATTAGTGTGCTACTGAGAAGCTCACAGGACGGCATTTAACCATCAGATGTTACAGACACACAGTATCAGATGCTAGGAAAAAAAGAGCAATACAATTCTCCTACCAAGGAAAGGTAAATTGAATCACTTCCTCTTCTGCGTCTGTTCTTTTTTTTTTTTGTTTTTGTATACAACAGTGACTATTTCCTTCTTTTGTCTGCTCAGTAATTTAAATACAGTGAGTGCAAAGGGAAAACTTGCAGGCTGACAGAAACCTTCTAGCCTGATTGGCTCCCCATGCTGACCACACTGCCAAACTTTGTTTTGTTCTTCTTCTGAAAAGTGGGGAGCACCTGCTGTGAACCAGAGCTTTAATGTCAGTGCAAAAACCTCACCACGGCTCAAGATGTCTTCAACAGAGTTATATATATTCTAGTGAGACTCCCTCTGCTACATGTTAATAACAAATTTAAGATATAATATAAATTTTACAGCAACTTTCTGACCAATTGGCAAAAACTGAAGTATCATACTAGTCTTCACCACTTCAGAGTGGTTTCTTGACTACTGAATTTCAAATGTCATTTGCACAAAATTATGACAAAATCATAGCTGAAAACAGCAGCAGACTGTTGCAGTTGATTTCATGCATTTAAGGAAAAAAACCCAGCAAAAATATATTGAGAATAAAAATTGTTAATTAGAAATGACTCTGTTGTAGATCTGCTATCTCTATGACTAATCCCAGCTGAATTCCACTGTGAACTACTTTATTGCCTCCTAGATGAAGGCTGGTGAATTAACATTACAATTATCAAGTTACAAATTCTACCCGAAAAGAAAGAATACTGTGCCAGATTACATTCCTCTGCCAGATCATAGTCACAGATGTGGAATTGGAATGACTGGAAGATGGAAAAGAATAAGAATAGGAACCACCTTTGGGAAACACACTACTGCATCTAATAATAAGTAACAAAAGTGCATTTGTTAAAGCAAAATTTCATCTCAATTTTTTTTTTTATTACTAATACTAAACCCCCCAATAACATTGCTAACATAAAATTTAAAAAGTCAGTAAATTACATCTAGTCTGAATTGAATAAATATTCATATATTCTCCACACATTGCATTAAGATTATTAGAAGATATTCCATGTAATCAAAGGCTGAATTGATCTGGGAGAAGCTCTTGTGAAAGAGAGAGCATCCCTGAAATAAATGCAAATGACTACAGTAACTATGACTATTGGAAAACTAAATCAGATTAGTGAGAGAGTTTAGCAAAGCCAAAGAAATTGTCCATATTCTTGTTAAAAAAAGGTATAACCAAAAAATTTGTTCCATGATTACCCTCTATTGGTACATACTGAGTATGTCAACAGTGCTCAAGTTTAGATGATATGTAAAGCACAAGCAGCAGCAGAAGAGAAATGCAGTAGAAGACTATACTTACAAAATCAGCTTTCAGTTTGTCTATATCATCTTGAAGTTGAAGCAGATTAAATCTATTTTCAACACGTCCAAAATAAATCATGATGATAGTCAGAACAAACAAGCTGTAGGTTTGGACAGGCATTTTCTTGGTGATGGTTCAGTTAAACTGCTCAGATAAGTTCTGGGAGATGTCAGTTCTAAGAGCAGTGCACTTCAACTTCTAATAGTTGAACCTTCTATTAGAAGAGAGTAGACGAATGAACTTCATCTGCTTGTCAGTGGTATTTATACCTGGTCTCAACATTTTTTTATTTCGTCATCACAGGCTGTGTATATTTAGACAAGATAGTGTTAGATAAGAACCCTTCATTTTTGGCTGAACACGGGAATCCCTCGAAAGCATCTTTGTTAAAGCATGGTCCTGGAAAAAATTTTGGTGGTTCGTCAACGGGTAACATTTACGTGGCAGATTCTGAAGTTTCTTTTACACATGGTTGGGGAAAGGGGGGAAATTATGACACTGATTGAGCAGTATGCGTTTTGCCTCAAGCGTATTCGTACACGCTATCTGAAAAAAAAATCCTATGTTGTGGTTAAAGGGTCAGTATAACAGTCAACTCATTTCTGGTATTCTTTTAAAGTAACCACCGAGATTGCCATGGCATTCTTCAGAGTCACTTAGAGATTTAAACATTCTTCCTACTGCTGTCCTTTTGTGAAACACCATTTTCATTCTTTCCATGGTCTAAAGTGGATTTCTGCTGCTTTCTCATTCTTCACCTTCAGATTCAAAATAAACTCAGGAGAAATGCGGTTCCAACACGAATGAAATTATGCATCATATTAAATTCCTCTATGGTTGCCTAGTCTGGGAGAATATTTAGTACTTAAGACAATCATTTCTGCTTGGCAACAATAAAGTTCCCCACATTCCCATTCATTTGCACTAATGTGTGTAGATTGTGAAAGACATGGAAGAAATAAGCCCAGGTGAAGAAGACAGACAGGATAATCCCCAAGTGCATACAGAAGCATGAAACAACTGTATTAATGATAGCTGAGAAAAATGTTTTCATATGGGAACTAAATGCTGCTTTGATGGATGTAATTGGATAAGAGCTTACTCTGAAGAGCCTTATGAACAAATCAGATAATTTTAGGTTGTAGTATATGAATGCAGGGTAGGCAGGAGCCTAAAAGGGAAAGAAAGAAGGAGTTTACAGGGAAAAAGAAAAAAAGTAGATCAGGAAGAGGGCACTTGTGGGCTCAGTTCCCACAGGTGAAGTGAAAGATATCTGTAGCTCATGAGAAACGGATGAGAATTAAACTGATCCCCAGCATATATATTTGAACTCTTCAGCACAGCTCCACATGACTCTTTGGGTATTCTCTGCAAGAAGCTCTCCCCTTCCCCAGCAGCTCCTCCTATTTCAGCAAATGACCACTAATGCCATCAAACATTTTCCACCAGCAGCTTGAAAGAGGACTTCCATCTGTGGAAGAGATCTAGGCTACTACTACCATTGCAAACAGGTAAGTGCCATTTTACAGGGACAAGAAGCAAATTTCACCAACAATTACAGGCCCAAATCTGAATGCTACATTTCCCTGGGAACGGCAGCATAGACAGATGGGACACATCTCACAACGTGTACAGTGGTACTTCACAATAATTAGTGCTGTAGTCTGCTTGGGATAGTAGCACTGTACAACACTCATCTTGGTTTTAGTTTAAGAAGTTAAAACTGGTTAAGCAACAACTTGATTGCTGTTGACATGAAGGTAAGGCGATAATTCAAGGATGCTTCAAAGATCCGTAAATAAATGCAAAGTTAACATGCCCATCCATGGCAGAGGGGTTGAACTAGATGATCTTCAAAGGTTCCTTCCAATTCAGACCATTTTGATTCTAGCATTCTATGCTAGAAATCAGAATCATAGAATCATTTTCATCTTTGGAAAAGACCCTTAAATCATCGAGTGCCATTGCGAACCTCACACTACTAAGTCCACCACTAAATCAAGTTCCCAAGTACCACATCTACAAGTCTTTTAAATGCTTCCAAGGATGGCTATAAAATGGTGGTCCCACCAAGATTCCAAATGGACTTACTATTCAAAGTGAACTCACAAATGTCAGCACACTGAACAAACCTACGGGTAATGTTGAAACATCTGGATTGCTAAGCAAGGCTAGTCAAATGGCATATTACAGCACAGTTACATGTAGTTTCATACATACAGGAAAATAAAGCATATTTTACAAGATGGGGACATGTGCTGAGGTTCAGTGACTGGCCACGAATCTATAGAACAATTCTTTGGCAAAGTGTTGGAAGAGATGCATTAAGAGGCAGAGGAAAACTGATTCTAGTTACGTGTGGCACTCTTTTTACTGTCAGAAACATCCAGCTAGAAGGGAGACGGGGTCATCAAGCCCAATTTTTGCCTAATTTGTGAAAAAGGTCTTAATTTGAGCAGTGCTTTTCTGTGTAAAGAGAACGTGTAAAGAAGAACTGCAAATAGGGAATTTGGAAGAGATTCATTACTCAAACAGCTCAGTCTTCTTAGTGTGTTGAGGACAAAACACAACACAACTGAACACAATTAATTGCTGTAATTACTCATCTAGGCAGAAGATTCCAGGAACTGATATATTAAGTCAGTAATACTGCCCTCTACGGAGAACTATTCACTCAGAGTGACTGTGCTGGATTAGACTGCCCTGTTAAATCTGTCAGACACGCATCTCACCCACAGCTGGCTGTATCTCCCAGGTGACCCCTACTTGGTCTGACACTGCTGCTAAACTTCTAAGAATAACAGGAGGGTGAAGTATCAGAAAGAAATCCTTTTCCAACTCAGCTTTTGAGTTTTGGGGGGGTTATATGGCTAATTTGATCACTAAATGTCACATTTCAGAAGGCCACTGCAATGCATCCAATTTTACAGGTAAGACAATAGAAGCACAGAACAATTCATGGTCATTCAGCATCTAGAAAAGGCAAATCTAGGAACAAAATAGGGTCTCCCAGTCCCATTGTGGTCATTTGCCTACTATGCAATGCTACGAGTATTATATCATAAACTGAGGCAAGAAATTCTGCAAAGAACAAAGAAAGCCATGACATCAGGCTCTGTCATGCTATTTTCTGTGTGCAGGTCTGACTTCTAGGTACACTCTCCTGCCTGTAGAGACTACATTCAGGCCTTTTACTTATCTTCACATTCAAATTGTCACAAAAAACATTGAATGTTCTGTGATAAATCATCAGACAGATGGACAGAAACATATTTTAATGGAGAAATTTAGGATGCCTTTTCCAAATCCTTTACATTTGAACAAATGGTGTCGTGTTAATGTTGACATAGTTGGCTCATAAGGTTCTCTTCTGTTGACACGCAATAGCACATCTCCGCAAATCATTTTGAAATTAGGCAACAGCCTAGAGCAGAAGGTCAGAACATAAATCTCATGGGTCCTATGTGTCTTCCAGCCCTGTTTTGTTTCCCATTCTGCCCAAAAGTGATAAACTAGGTCACCATTGGCCAGTGTATGTTTTGTTGCCCAAGAACTGTGAAGAGTCAGATTGTAAGGAAGGCTCAGGTTTAGACAGCTCCTCTGCTCTGCCTTTCCTGAGAATCAGCAGTGGGGGATGAAAACAACACAGGGGGATCCTGAAAATATCTGTCCTTTATGACACAGAGCCAAAGGCCTAAGAGCATCCAATATTTTATTTGTGCTCCTTAGCAGATATTTACTGAGTGCATGCTGGAGAGGATTGAACACTCAGCACTAACACAAACTCTTTGTCTGAGCACTAGTCCTAATCTAGCTGAAAGAGATGCCTGAATAGTATTGAAAAGTCTTGAGTTGCATAGAGTTGAAGTGGTTCTCATGTATGACTCCATAGCCACAGCTGGGCTATCATCTCTTCCAAACACAATAGGAAATGAAACCCAGGCATTTTTTCATTTTTCTGCCTGGAAGTCATCTGACTCTTCATGCAAAGCAGAGGTTTCACACCCTTCTGTTCATACAACACCTTACACCAAATACCCAATGATGGCTTTGCAAAGTCATGTCAAACTTCCCTATGACCACTGATTACAGCT